AAAAACACTGTAAGTATTTCTGTGTTAAATATCAGGAATCTTAAGTTTCCAGGTCTAATTCCACTTGAACTTGAATTTGTAAGAATTACAGGTTCCATAAATAGCCCATAGAAAGTATAACTGGCTCCAGACTCCTTCACCGTCCAGGCTGATGTAGATAGAACACAGTGAGATCACACATAGGAAAGCTGTTTAGAAATATAAGCTCTCTATATATCAGATACTGGGCTAAAACAGCACTTGCCTGATTCTAGATGTATGCCTCGGAACCTCTTGGAACGGGCGCGCTCTGTGTTTTTTCCTTTACAGTGAGTCTGTCCATTAGAGAATCTACAAGTTCAAGCAGGAGACTCTCTGGGCACATTTTGGTCCCAAGGTAGACTGTGGAGTGGTATGCAGAGGCAGTAGGAGCCTATTAGATGGCAACTTACTGAAATGTCCTCCCGATTCTTTATGGTATACCTTAGTCCTATTTATCCTTCAGAATCTTTCTAAAATCACACTCTTCTATGAAACTTTATATGAGAATCAGAACCACAAGATTACACAAAACTGGTCAAAGACTAAATTGGTTTGGTGAATGATAGACTGTTGAACAACAAGGAATTAAATTAGTTAAGGTATAATTCTCAAGAGATTTCTGAATATATCACTATGTACTTCCTCAGATTAGCACTAATAATTTTGTGGTTACACTAAAGATAGGAAAATACTGTAAGACTATGCACAGCTACTTATTTTGAACTTGAAAATATATTCTCATCTTGCCTGTTTAGCATTATTTTTGCTCCCAGTGCAATAAAAAGCCCCATCAAAAAGTCATCTGTACAACTGTTGCCACCTATAGGTGGTAAGTGAAGTAATTTTAATTTTGGTGAAACAGCATATAAAGGACATGGGATGTTTTTAGAAGCAACACAACTCTTGTCAAACACAAATCTGTACTGTGTTTATCATTATTATTTTCTTCTGTAATTCTTACTTCAGATGGTACTTTAAAGATGCTGCTAATGGTCATTAAGCACTTTTCCAAGGTAAAGTTTGAGAAGTTGGGCTCTGCAAGTAGTCCCCCAGGTCTAGGTCCAAACTTCACCAGGTACTGCTACAAAACCTTGCATGAGTTATGTAACTTCCTGAAGCCTCAATCGATGGCACCCACCCTATGGAAGTCCTGCAGGGATGAAGACAGATGATCCCTGCAAATTACTGTCAGCACCTGAACAGCATGCAGTAAAAATAGGAACATTTTTACCATGATTAGTTTGCAAAGCATCTTTCCATGCAGTTGCTACAACAGTCCTGCACTGTTTGGTGAAGATTTGCCAGATAGATCAGTAATCCATTACTGTTTGACCACTCTCCTCCCTTCTATTTGCATTCAAATGTAATGTGACTTTGAAAGTTTAAATATACCTGACATCTAACAAGCACGGTTGAGGCTAATTTAGTGTGTTCATACAGGGGCAGGGGAAGAAGCTACTTAGTACCGTTATTCTTGGCAAACCACTGGAAAAGCACAAGCCAACACTGGAGGCTAAAGGAAGCTTTCACTGAGAACCTCCTGACAATTTAGCATTGGGCTAGGCCTTTAGAGAGGAAGGGGGTGGGGGTAGGGCGACACGTAGAACATAAAAACAAATAATCTGGGCATAGGAGTGCACACCTGTAACCCTGACCCTCTGAGAGGCTGTGGCTGGAAGATTTGAGCCCAGGCTGGGAAATGTAGATAGCAACTTAGGGAGATCCTGTCTCAAAATAAAAATAAAAAGGGCTGGGGATGTAGCTCAGTGTGAAGGCCCTGCATTCAATCCCTAGTACTATGAAAAAAGAAAAAGAAAAAACACTGAGTGCAAAGATTGCAAGTTGGCATACATGCTGGGTTCTTTCATTGTTTTGTTTTAATATGAACCAATGCTCAAAAATCAGAAAAATTTTAACATCAACAAATACTGACCTAGATTTATGTCCTCACCTTTGAAATCAAAAGATCTCAACTCACCTTTCTGCTCAGCAGAATAAATAGATGCTGCTGCCATTAAATACGGGAAATACTCCTGAGCTCCCTAACTTGAAGTTGAATGGCATTTGGCCCTTTTTGTCATTTGCACTGATGTTCTTAGAGCCAAGAAATATTTCTGCCCTTGCCTTTCATCCAAATCATGAAGATAAAAGGAAGCTTGAGATGACCTTGTTTTTCTTATTAATGTTCCTTCATTTCCATAACACCCCGGCCCAGTTAGTCCTATGTTATATTTAACTGAAAAAACCAACCTTCAAGCTTGAAGCCATTAGAAAAGGTGATATACTATCCCCAGTGAAAGTTCATGTTTTAAATTATTTCCTTACCTCGACCTTCCATACACAGAATACTTTTGTGTATATGTTTTTTGTTTGTTTGGTTGGTTTTGTTTTTGTTTTGGTACCGGGGATTGAACTTGGGTCCTTGCGCTTGCAAGGCAGGCCACTGAACCACTGAGCGAAATCCCCGGCCCTTGTGTATATGTTTGTCGTGTATCAGAATCATTATGTAAGCTGGTTAAGGAGGGGGAATACTTGAGAGTTTCTGATGTAGTAGTTCTGTTTGCATTTCATTTGAGAAACACTGCTCTAGAATAAGAACCCTGCCTTACATTTATTGAGCCTCTTCTGTGTACCAGAGGCCTATGGTGCTTTATTTCTAAAACTTTAGTTAATCCTGGAGATCACGTATGTGTCTTATCACCATTTACACCTGAGGGTGCATTCAGTCACTGCTACAGTCAAGGAAAGGGCCCAGATCTCCCCTGTAGGAAACAGTTTTAATCAGGAGTGTATTCTCAGCCCTCAAATCTATTTTGTGGTAGCTTCTCTAATAAGTGTGTGTTTAGTGAAGTTGAGATCTACATAGACCAGAAATGGCAAGAAAAATGCTTGCAGTCTTTGGAAGAAAAAGGACTAAGACACCCAAGTGAGGAGGAAATTGCACTGAATGCCTTTTGTGTACCTAAATGTCAATGAGCATTTACAATTTGGTAAATGAAGTTAAATGTTTACTCTCTCCAAAGCATTTCCTACTCCCCATACATTTTTAATACTGTGCTATATATTTCTTTGGAAAAAGAAAGCCTAAAAAATTGGCACAACATTAGAAGGGGCATTTTCATGGAGTGATTCTTAATCACAGTATTGCTGTTCTATAGTCAGCTAGGAATCTGTTTCTCAGCCCCCTGTAGTTTCACCTGAGAATGAACCTGAACTATCACGTGATGCACCTGCATGTTAATAGTATAATGAAGGAACCACTAGTCCAAGGCTGATCTTCAAATATTCCCATGGAATATCACCATTTCCCATAGCAGAGAAGCTGTCTGTGCCTGCTCCTGGGACCCTGAAGCCATCCACTTCCATCTAATTCTCCTTCTATTTGCTGTGAGGTCCATAGGTTTTGGCCGTATCTTTTTGCCCCCATGGAAACTTGCTTTCCTCGCTGCACCTTTTTTAAATCCAGCGTCATTATATGGGCCAGGGGCAAGTTGGGAAGCAGAAAAAATTTGCCTTTGGTCTTTTATTTAAATGGAAGATTTGGATAACAACATAACAGCACAATATTTTGCCTCTCTACCTATGACAGCATGGTTTAGTAGAATAAGAGTGTGGTTCAAATTGAAATTCTAATTCTGTTTTCTGTCCCTTGTTCTGCAAGCTTGGGCAACTATTCTGTCATGGTGAGCTTTGTTTTCCTCATCTTTAAAATTGGTCAACAGGTACAATATTAGGAATAAGTTCTGATGTTCTGGTGCACTGTATAACAGTATTATATCAGGAAACTCAAAATAACGAGAGGCGAGCAGTTTAAATGTTCTTACCCCAAAAATGATCAAGGTTTGGGATAATAGAGTAAATGATTTTATCACTACTATGTAATATATATAATATATATAAACACATTGCATTCCATACACCATACAATTGTTATGTGTAAGTTAAAAATAAAACTTCAAAATAACACATGGATTGCAAAACACAGTAAAATGTGAGTTAAACATAACTTTCAGGTGTGAGAAAGGCTGATAGAGAAAACCTGTCAAGAGCCTTTTACCCAGTGGCTGCTTAGTAAGCAGTCACTATCATTTCTAAGCCCTGCCCCTGCTTCTTCCTTGTGTTTGATCAAATTTTTGCCTGAAAGAAAAAAGAAAATGAGAACTACTGTAGAGGCTGTAACATTTTCACTCTTACGTTCTTCTGCATCCCTGCTTCCCTTTGTCTTGCCAGCCTGACCAGCACTGGAGCAACTGAACGCAATCACGTCCACTGGGCTCACCTGCAGTGATCACTGAGTGTGACTGCAATGTTTTGTGAAGTCCTACAGGGTGCTAATAACATCCTATAAATATCTCAGTGCAACCTGGTATATTACCAGAACCCACCGGACAGGGGGAGTGACTAAACTGCGCACCGATTTCTATGGTGTCTACACACTTGAGCCTTCTGGAAGCCACTGTGAAAGACCCAGAGATCTCTTTCAGGAATTCAAAGTCCCATAAAGGGACCATGCAAACATGATGATGCTACTGACAAGCTTAATATGCACTGACATTTTTTGGCAATTTAAGGGATTTTCTGCCCTTTTCTTTAACTTCTGGCTGAAACTCAATCCCTATCTATACTTAGAAAAAGTACAACACTTAGCAAGGAAGCAGAGGAGTTTGAAACTTCGATTAAGAAAAATAAGGCACTTTACCTGAATAAATTTCAAATGGATCTATCTAAAATGAAATTAAATGGCACTTAACTGGTTTGTAAATTGGGACCTATTTATCTCAGTAAAATAATTAAAGTCTTGATTTATCACTAAAATTGGCCTTATTATTACATTTAATTATACTAGAAGATCATTAAAGACTTGTAGGTTCTCTCTATCCCTTTAAACTACTCTTTGTACAGATAATAATTGAATATTGGATAGAATAACTTGATTTTCCAAAGAAATATGTTTCTAATATTTTCCTCTTTTATTGCAGAAATTGAAACAAGTTGAAGAAACAAAAGAAGATCCTGAGCATAGATTATCTAAAATTTCCCTCAAGTCATTCAATAAATTTAACAGCAATTCTGTGATTTTATTAGAAAAAGAGAACTCTGTGAGCAAGGTTGAAGGACAAAAGGAAGAAAGAGAAAAAAATGAAGAGGCATCTTTAAGTAGCTCAGATAGGCCTGGGGTAGACAATTTGGAATCTTTGAGTGATTCTTTATATGATAGCTTTTCTTCTTGTGCAAGTCAAGGTTCAAATGATGTATAAAGGACGTTTTAGCCCCATAGTGAGAGCTGGGAATAGTGCACTTAAAAAAAGAAAGTGGGGCGGGGGTGGGGGACACAGAGCTGTTAGCCATAAACTATACAACACCAGAGCCCACCTTGTCAAGTACGCAGCAGGCAACCCACCAGGGCTTATTTCTCTGACAGGGCAATAAAGATTTAATCTATTTGTTGTGTTTCGAGAGGATTAAAAGTAAATGTAATACAGAATTCTTAATTTTGCACTTTTTAAAATACTTGTACAGAAGTTGTAAATTTTTTGGAAGAGAAAATTATATTTGTAGGGAAGAAAAGATAGCAATAAAAGGAATCTGTGCCATGCTCTTGAAATGATGTACTAAGTCTCAGAAGTGGATGATAATATATATTTTTGAAAATTTCAACTAAACATTTTGTGAAGTTCATTGTAGTCCTCAAATTATTTGTGGGTACACTCTGTAAATCTAAAACAGGGCCTGCGGAAAAACCAGAGAGATCATAGTTCTCTCCATGTCACAATCTCATTTTAATAGTTGTTTTTAATTGCAGTGCAATTTTAGAATTGTTGAAGAGAGATTCAAGTTTTAACGGTAATTCTGCTTTCACTGAAAAATGAAGTGTGGACACTGGGAAGTGTGACCGTATGTCCAGAAGCAAACTATTCCTATTTCAATGGGTTTTCCCTCGACGGTTCCTTAACAACCTCTTCTACTTAGTGATCCTCTGTGATTCCCGATATTATTTGTTGATTTTTATCTTTGTACTTTCTAAAATTAAAATCTGGGTACTCTAAAAATAAAAACAAATTCCTATTTGCTGTGTTCACTTTTTAACAAATAAAATCAATGGTGCTATGAAAATTTCTTACCTTTTAATACCTTGTTTTTCTACAAAGACTGTTTATATGTAAGGATAAATTCTATTTTAAAGGTTATGTGTATTTTTTTCTAGATGTGAACTATCTATAATTGCTTTTGTACAGGAGCTTGTAAACTAGGCATAATAGAGATCCTTTTAGGATCTACTTGGTTACTTTAGCACACAATTGTTCTTTAAAGAATACTGTATGATCAGTGTTATTTTGTTGATTTGTGCAATTTGTTGTATTTGAATTTTGTTACCCTAAATGAAAATTATGTAAAGCGTCCTTGTCTTTCAGGCTTTTAAAAATTCTTTTGTTTCACTTCTGAATAAAGTCCTATCACAGTTGTACCCTCTGTATGCTGAAAAGAACTTGCTCAAGGACCCTCTAGCCACTCAGTTACAACAGTCATGATTCACACGTGCTCTGAGGATGGCTTTCCCGAAGGAGTAAATAAGCTGGCCCTTTTGCTCCCGTGATAGTTATGCAGCCAATTGCAAGATCAGAGCCTGCAGCCAGGCGAGTAATGGTCAGAGCATTTCAGTCTCCGGGAGGGGTTAACCAACTGAAAACGGAAGCGGTAGAGGGGCTGCAAGGTCCGAGAAGGAGCCCGAGGCAATAGGAAGGATCTCTGCAGAGGAATTACAAGAAAGTCATTTACGCCAATTCCAGACCTGCTCTGCTGGCAGGATGGGGAAATAAACGGTCTGCGTCCCAGCCTGAGAGAGCTTCCCCACGAGGAGGCGGGAGAGGGGCACAGTTTAGGAGCCTATTTCCACGGAAATGGATGCTCCCTGGGGATCTGGGAATAAGGGGTGGGAAAGGGCGGGATTGAGGGCGGGGGCACAAACGAGCTCGGGCGGGCACGCGGACTCCAGCACCACCTGCTGCAAAGCTCCGCTAGGAAGGCGAAACAGCACCGTTGGCGTCCGGGGACTACACAAGGTGGGTGTCACTTGGGATTGGTGAAGAGAAACTTGGGGTGAGTGGTGGTGGTGGTGGGTCCAAGTCCTAGGCAGGGACCGTGTCTTGCGCAGTGTTATAACTCGTGGCCTTAGGGGCCCAAATGAAGCCTGACCTGTCTTTCGGAAGGAGGGGAGAAGGAAAGCAATCCTCTTCGCCCGGATTTGCTCGCTCCTGCTCGCTCCAAACGGTAGTCCCTAGGGCGCACCTCTGGGCTAGGCGACCAGCCGTGACTAAGCCCCCTCCAGTGGCACGCGCGGGAGGGCGAAAGGAGGGTGACCGGGATCTGCGCGGTGCTCAGGGTCCCCACCACACTCCTACCCACCCTGTGAAGGCCGAACCCGGCAATGACCGGTCCTGCAGGCCTCTCGGAGGAGGAGGTCGAGCCGCAGCTGGGGACACCCCGGGGAGCCTGCGGGTGTGCAACTTCGCCAGGTGTACGGGAACACGCCCCATCGCCCCGAGAGTTTCCCAAGGCCGACAGCACTAAACCTCCGGCTGGCGGGCCAAACCCAGTGGCTGGGTGCTCGTTATCAGCAGGGGGAGCAGAGAATGCGCGGAGCCTGGCCCAGCGCTAGGCCAGCAGACCCCGCCACGCCGGTTCCCCACTTGCGCCCTCCAGGTCCCCAGGCACCTGCTGCGCCTTCTTGGACGCTCCCCCGACCCCTCTGCGCCTCTTTCCCAGGAAGAGCGGAGGCGGGAGGAGAGGGCGGCAGGAAGGGGGTGGGGACTTCGACGGTCCCCTCGGTTCCCCGCCCGCCACCCCCTCCCCAACTCGGCAGCTGTCACGTGGTGCATGGCGTGGGAGGGAGAAGAAGAGGCGAGACTTTTTCGGGTGCTCCGAGTCGCCTGTAGTTTTTCAGCTTCAGCCGCCAACTCCGGAGGCAAGGCGCTTGGCCCAGGAGAGCGAGTGAGAGGAGCGGGAACCCGCAAGGCAGCTGCCAGCCCCGGCG